TTCCCTTTCATCCCGTGCAGTCTGGCTTAATCCAGCTCAGCCCTGGGTTGGCTCCTTGATCGGGCTCAGCCGCCCTCAACCATTCTTACGAGGACCCGGGAGTTGCCTCCCTCCTTGCCTTCGTCTTGGCCCCCGTACCTCACGCACCTGCCGTTATCGTCCTACCCTCGCCTGCCCCCCGGACCTCCTGCTTATGAGGACGCACCTGACGCAGCTCGAGTACGAGCTGCAGGCGGAGGAGGGCATAGGCCCGGCCTCTCCGCGCCTGCGCGCGCGGGGACTTTTGCGCGCCTGCCAGCGCTTGTCGGTTTGCCTGGCTGCATGCAGGGGCGGCCGCGGCGACTTCCCCTTCCCCGAGAGCTCAGAGGAGGAACATACACCGATACCGCTGCTCGTCCTGGAGAGCCCTCGTCGCCGCGGCTGGGTTCACCGCGGAATCCTGGTCAGAATGCGTCCCAGGAGAGGTCCGAGGAGTAGCGGTATCGGTACCTTGTTGTCCCTCCTTAGGAGCGTCCGAAAGCGCCGCTCCTGCGAGGATTTTTCGGGCGTTGCTTCTTTCAACATTACGACCATGCAGTCGCACCATATGGTGCAATTCGACAACTCGTTATGCGAATCTGCGCATAATCCACTGAAGCATTCTGGGATGCTTGTGTTCACATACTCTGTGCAACCTCTCTCTGTCTATTCCGCCATACACATAAAAGACGCCTACGGCGAATCACCGTCGCTCCCTGCCTTTTTGGAAGCGCCTGCGTGGCCGAAAGTTGGGTTTGAGTTTGGCCAAGCTATCGGGCCACGCGTTCCCCGAGTGGGTTTCGAAAGCCTTCGGGGAACACGGAGTCGGGCGAGCTATCGGACCAGGTGGTTTCCGAGTTTTCGGGCCTTCCTGGAGGACGCCTTGGAGGGCTCTTGGGCCGTCTTGGAGGCCTCTGGCGGGCCTTTTGGGCAGTCTACGGCCATCTTCAGGCCATCTGGGGCCGTCTTGGGTGCATCTTGGGGCCATCTTCGCTGTCTTGGAGGCCTTCTTGGCCGTCTTGGAGGTATCTTGGATGCCATCTCGGCCGTCTGGGAGGCCATCTTCGGCGTCTTCGGGGCCATCTTGGGCCGTCTTGGGCTCTTCTTGGGGCCCTCTTGGAGGCCTCTTGGGCTGTCATGGCGCCATCTTGGAGGCCTCTTGGGCGCTCTTGGGACGATGTTGGGGGCCTCTTGGGCCGTCTTGGGCCGTCGGAGAGCTGATACGAATAAGATGCCACACTCTTTCAACAACCTAAGGAACATCATTGATTTTTGCCCTTTAGGGTCTTCCTGGAGGACGTCTTGGAGGCCTCTTGGCCAGTCGTAAGCCATCTTGGAGCCATCTTGGGCCGTCTTGGAGGCTTCTCGGACGAGCTTGAAGGCATCTTGGACTCTCTCGGGCCGTCTTGGAAGCCATCTTGGACCATCTTTGGCGACTTGGACGCCATCTTGGGCCATCTTGGAAGCCATCTCGGGCCAACGTGACCACTTTGGAGGCCATCTTGAGCCGTCTTGGAGATTTTTCCCAACCATCCTGTGGTGTTGGGTCCTCGTTTTGATGAGACAGCGCCCCGCGTTCACTCCTCCTCCCGCTGCCCCCTCCCTCCTGCCATCATCATCATCATCACCATCATCATCATCATCATCATCATCATCATCATCATCACCACCATCATCATCACCATCATCATCATCATCGTCATCATCATCATCATCATCATCATCATCATCATCATCATCATCATATCATTATCATCATCATCATCATCATCATCATCATCATCATCATCATCATCATCATCATCATCATCATCATCATCATCATCATCATCGTCATCGTCATTATCATCATCATTCCTCTCCTCTCCTCTCCTCTCCTCTTCTCTCCTCTCCTCTCCTCTCCTCCTCTCCTCTCCTCCTCTCCTTTTCACCCACCCAGTACACCGTTTCGTGGCCCTATCGGGAGCTCCACCGAAGGCCCCAGTGCCCGCGCCCGCATGCGTCACCCACACCCAATTCGGCACACCCCTCACACGTTTCGTGGCTCCATAGGGAGCTCCACCGAAGGCCCCAGTGCCCGCGCCCGCATGCGTCACCCACACCCATTTCGGCACACCCCTCACACGTTTCGTGGCTCCATAGGGAGCTCCACCGAAGGCCCCAGTGCCCGCGCCCGCATGCGTCACCCACACCCATTTCGGCACACCCCTCACACGTTTCGTGGCTCCATAGGGAGCTCCGCCGAAGGCCCCAGTGCCCGCGCCCGCATGCGTCACCCACACCCATTTCGGCACACCCCTCACACGTTTCGTGGCTCCATAGGGAGCTCCGCCGAAGGCCCCAGTGCCCGCGCCCGCATGCGTCACCCACACCCATTTCGGCACACCCCTCACACGTTTCGTGGCTCCATAGGGAGCTCCACCGAAGGCCCCAGTGCCCGCGCCCGCATGCGTCACCCACACCCATTTCGGCACACCCCTCACACGTTTCGTGGCTCCATAGGGAGCTCCGCCGAAGGCCCCAGTGCCCGCGCCCGCATGCGTCCACCCACACCCATTTCGGCACACCCCTCACACGTTTCGTGGCTCCATAGGGAGCTCCACCGAAGGCCTCAGTGCCGCCGCCCGCATGCGTCACCCCCACCCATTTCGGCACCCCCTTCGCGTTTGTCTGGGGCACCTAAGGGAGCTCCGCCGACCGAAGGCCTCATTGCCCGCGCCCGCCTGCGTCACCCACAACCATACTCGGCACACCCCTCACACGTTTCGTGGCTCCAATAGGGAGCTCCACCCGAAGGCCCTAGTGCTGCCGCCCGCATGCGTCCCCCACACAAAATTCGGCACACCCCTCACACGTTTCGTGGCCCCATAGAAGCTCCGCCGAAGGCCCCAGTGCTGCCGCCCGCATGCGTCCCCCACACCCAATTCGGCACACCCCTCACACGTTTCGTGGCCCCATAGGAGCCTCGCCGAAGGCCCCAGTGCTGCCGCCCGCATGCGTCACGCACACCCAATTCGGCACACCCCTCACACGCTTCGTGGCTCCATAGGGAGCTCCACCGAAGGCCCCAGTGCCCGCGGCCGCATGCGTCACCCACACCCATTTCGGCACACCCCTCACACGCTTCGTGGCTCCATAGGGAGCTCCACCGAAGGCCCCAGTGCCCGCGGCCGCATGCGTCACCCACACCCATGTCGGCACACCCCTCACACGTTTCGTGGCTCCATAGGGAGCTCCACCGAAGGCCCCAGTGGCCGCGGCCGCATGCGTCACCCACACCCATTTCGGCACACCCCTCACACGTTTCGTGGCTCCATAGGAACTCCACCGAAGGCCCCAGTGCCCGCGGCCGCATGCGTCACCCACACCCATTTCGGCACACCCCTCACACGTTTCGTGGCTCCATAGGGAGCTCCACCGAAGGCCCCAGTGCCCGCGCCCGCATGCGTCACCCACACACAATTCGGCACACCCCTCACACGTTTCGTGGCCCCATAGTAGAAGCTCCGCCGAAGGCCCCAGTGCCCGCGCCCGCATGCGTCACCCACACCCATTTCGGCACACCCCTCACACGTTTCGTGGCTCCATAGGGCCCCACCGAAGCCCCAGGTGCGGCCAGCCCGCCATGCGTCCCCCGCACACCAATTCGGCAACACCCTGCACACGTTTTTCGTGGCCCCATATGGAGCTCCCCCGAAGGCCCCAGTGCTGCCGCCCGCATGCGTCACCCACACCCAATTCGGCACACCCCTCACACGTTTCGTGGGCCCATGGGGAGCCCCACCGAAGGCCCCAGTGCTGCCGCCCGCATGCGTCACCACACCCAATTCGGCACACCCCTCACACGTTTCGTGGCCCCATAGGGAGCTCCACCGAAGGCCCCAGTGGCGGCGCTCACATGCGCATGCGTCCCGCACACCCATTTCGGCACATCCCTGACAGGCTTCGTGGCCCCATCATCCACCGGAGGCCCCAGTGGCGGCGCTCACATGCGTCACCCACACCCACCCAATTCGGCACACCCCTCACACGTTTCGTGGCCCCATAGGGAGCTCCACCGAAGGCCCCAGCGGCCGCGCTCAAATGCGTCCCCGCCACCCATCCCGGCACGCCCCTCACAACAACAGGTTTCGTGGCCCCATGGGGAGCTCCACCGAAGGCCCCAGTGCTGCCGCCCGCATGCGTCACCTCCCGCACCCAATTCGGCACACCCCTCACACGTTTCGTGGCCCCATAGAGAGCTGCACCGAAGGCCCCAGCGGCGGCGCTCACATGCGTCCCCGCCGCACATCCCAGTACACCCCTCACGCGCTTCGTGGCCCCATAGGGAGCTCCACCGAAGGCCCCAGTAGCGGCGCTTACATGCGTCTCCGCCACCCATCCCGCCCCCCCCCCCCGCATCAGCATCATGTTTCGGGGACCCATAGGGAGCTCCACTGGAGGCCCCAGTGGCGGCCCGCACATGCGTTTCCGCCACCCATGTCGGCACGCCCCGCGAGTGTTTCATGTCCCCATAGGGAGCTTCGCCGAATGCCCCAGTGGCACCCATCTCGGCACACCCCTCACACGTTCCGTAATCCTATGGGGAGTTCCATTGAAGATGAAACCCGCAGCTGCGGTACTGACAACTGCATATGGTTGGGTTCTTCGCCAGGCTAATTTTTACGTCGTTGAGGTGGTTGCGGGGCCTTTCCGGGACCCCGGCGGGATCGGCCGAAGCCCCAGAGGAAGTTTTTTGGAAAAGAACCAAAACCAACACCGAAAAAGATCTAGCACGCCAGGCACCCCTGTGGCAAGCCAATAGGGGGCGGCGGATCGAAGACGCCTACGGCGAATCACCGCCGCCCCCTGCCTTTTTGGAAGCGCCTGCGTGGCCGAAAGTTGGGTTTGCGTTTGGCCAAGCTATCGGGCCACGCGTTCCCCGAGTGGGTTTCGAAAGCCTTCGGGGAACACGGAGTCGGGCGAGCTATCGGACCAGGTGGTTTCCGAGTTTTCGGGCCTTCCTGGAGGACGCCTTGGAGGGCTCTTGGGCCGTCTTGGAGGCCTCTGGCGGGCCTTTGGGGCAGTCTACGGCCATCTTCAGGCCATCTGGGGCCGTCTTGGGTGCATCTTGGGGCCATCTTCGTAGTCTTGGAGGCCTTCTTGGCCGTCTTGGAGGCATCTTGGAGGCCATCTTGGCCGTCTTGGAGGCTATCTTGGGCGTCTTCGGGGCCATCTTGGGCCCTCTTGTTCTTGGGGCCCTCTTGGGGGCCTCTTGGGCTGTCATGGCGCCATCTCGGAGGCCTCTTGGGCGGTCTTGGGACGATGTTTGGGGCCTCTTGGGCCGTCTTGGGCCGTCGGAGAGCTGATACGGGAAATCAATGATTTGTGCCCTGTGTCGCAGTCCTGGAATACGTCTTGGAGGCCTCCTGTGGGCCTCCTGGCCAGTCGTGGGCCATCTTGAACCGTCTTGGAGGCTTCTCAGACGAACTTGAAGGCATCTTGGACTCTCTCGGGCCGTCTTACTCTTGGGCTCTCTTGGGGCCGTCTTGAGTGCCTCTTGGGCCTCTCTTGGGTGCCTTGGGAAGCCTCCTGGGGCCTCTGGGGGGTCTCGTGGGAGCCTCCTGGAGGCCTCTTGGGCGCCTCTTGGGGCCATCTTGGAGGAGATCGATCGGAAAAGGTGGGAGTTTTAGTTACGTTCCCCTCTCGGGAGCCCCACAACTCGCCTCTCGGGCCCCGCATGGGGCGCTCTTGGAGCGATCTTTAGCGCTCTTGGGGCCGTCTGGGGGGGCGCTTGGGCCTCTCTTGGGACCCTCAATGGCCCCCTTGGAGCTGTCTTGAGGCGTCGGAAGGCCATCGCAAGCGAAAAGTCGAGAAGGCAACATTCAGTGATTCCCTTACGTTTTTGTTGAAGGATGTTGGACTCTTGGCGGCCTCCTGGGGAGGTTCCGTGGCCATTCGGAGCCGTCTTGGAGCGGTCTTGGGGCCACTTGGAGCATCTTGGGGAGCCACACCGAGCCATCTTGGGCTATTTTGGGCCATCTTGGAAGTCATCTTGGACTCTCTGAGGCCCTCCTAGAGCCATCTTGGACACTCCAACGACCCGCGACTCCACCCCTCCAGTTCCAGGGGTGGGGGTTAGAGAAGGGGTGAGCCCATTCCCGATAGGGAAGAGAGAGGGGTGGAAGAGGAAACGCGCTAGACCACCTACGTCCAGAGGGCTGGTAGGATTACATGTTTGTGCCCTCATTGCATAATCCCGTGCACGACGCTTGGAGGCCATGTCGGCCACACCCGCAGGACAGCGTGATTGGTCATCAGTTAATAATACTTTACCGCCACCGGCTGCTGATATCCCCCCCAAACTTGAACAACAGATCAGCAGGTGGTGGAGGTGGAGGGGAAGGGGGGAAGAGGGTTGCCTTCCCCCCAGTCTCAGGGCGCGACCTGATGCAGCGCATCGAGACCCTCGAGGCCGCCATCTGGCGGGAGCGCTGGCATCGAGAGGGCGCGCGCGAGGAGGACTGGGGCGCGCGTGCGCCCAGCACCAGCCTCGAGGCTTGACTGGGGAGGGTGCTCGCCGCACCCTTCTCGCGCCGTCGTCCGTCTGCTCCTCCTGCTATTCCTTCCCCCTCCTCCTCCTCCTCCTGCTCCTCCTCCTCCTCCTCCTCCTCCTCCTCCTCCTCCTCCTCCTCCTCCTCCCCCTCCTCCCCCTTCTCCTCCCCCTCCTCCTCCTCCCACCTACGCTCGTCTCCTCCTCCTCCTCCTGCTCTTCCGCGTGTCCGGCCGGCCAGGCGCTCCACTTACAGGGGAGGTGAGATGGGACGAAGTGTCCAGTGCACACCCTGGCGGCTCCCGACAGAGCACCCGTGCAGCCGCCTCGGCGCGCCGAGGGGCATCGCCTCCCAAGATGGCCCCAGGAGGGCCCCAGACGAAAACGCGGAGGAGCCCCCACGGAGCCCACCGCTTCCTGCCCGCCTCGCACTTCTGACCTCCGCGCTGGGCCCTCGGGGCTGAGTGTCGTCCCCTGGCTCCTCCTCAGCCTCGTCCACCTCCACCTCCTCTTCGCCGGCCCTCCGGCAAGCGTTGCCTCGCCCTCCTCTTGACGCCCTCGGCCCTGCTCTTGCTGCTGCTGCTGCTGCTGCTTCTCCCCTGCTCGCCCAGCTCTCCCCCCTCTGAGCAGCTGCAGCTCAAGAGTACAGACTCAGCCTGAGCTCTTTCTCGAAGCCAGCGGTCCGAGTCTCATCACGCCAGCAGGAAGGGGGGGAGTCCGAATTGAGGCCAAGGTTCTCGTCGTGGCCATTGGTGAACCAGACGGACTGGAGAGAAGGGCGGCGCTTTATGGCTGATGTTATGTAATAGGATGTGTTTCTATCTAGGTATAACATGTGTTCACGAACACTGCTGGCCGTTCTGCCCCACCCACGCCTTGTGTTTCTCCTCGGATGTCGAAGACAAAGCAGGTATACCACACGGCGACCCCGCAACGTGGTATCGGAGAGGGCGGCATTGGAATCGGAATCGGTTGTTTTGCAAGTTGGGTTCGACTCGTTGTCAATGTCAAGTCGCTCTCGTTCGGAGCCGCCTTGTCCAGTTTTGTGTTGGGTCGTGCCTGTGGCATTGAATGTTGCAAACTTTCCAGTCGTTCTCAACTTTCCCGATCCATGGATTTGGCGCGCGGTCGCCAAATCCATGGATCGGGGAAGGTGCCCTCCCCGAAATGCGGCCGGTGCCGCCTCGCTCGGCGGCGGGAATCCGCGATGTCCCATGGAAACCGGACCCGTCGCCAATCCAAGCCCCTTGATCCACGTTTGCGATCGCCAGAGAGGGGGGGGGCCGAGATTTCAAACACAAATTCGGGCTTGGGGGTTCCGGCTGGCAGAACGCGCCGGGGTCGGCCAGAGCCGGCCAGGACCATCAGACCAGCCAGATCAGTCTGATGACCCTGACCAGCAGCATCCGAAGCCCAGTATTTGTCCTTTTCCCAACCATCCTGTGGTGTTCGGTCCTCGTTCTGATGCTAGCGTCCCGTGCCCCCTCCTCTCCTCTCCTCTCCTCTCCTCTCCTCTCCTCTCCTCTCCTCTCCTCTCCTAGCCCCTCCTCTCCGCTCCCCTCCCCTCTTCTCCTCTCCTCTCCCCTCCCCTCCGCTACTCTCCTCTCCTCTCCTCTCTCCT